TTGAGTACTGTGTTCAGTTTGAGGCCCCTCACCACAGAGACATCGAGGCACTGGAGCGTGTCCAAAGAAGGGCAACGAAACTGGTGAGGGGTCTGGAGCACATGTCTTATGAGGAGTGGCTGAGGGAACTGGGGTTGTTTAGCCTGGAGAAAAGGCGGCTCAGGGGAGACCTTACCACTCTCTGAAAGGAGAGCAGAGAGGTTGGAGTTGAAAAGGAAGTTGCAGAGAGGTGAGAGGTGACTTGTTTTGTCAAGTAACAGGTGATAGAACAAGAGGAAATGGCTTCAAGTTGCGCCAAGGGAAGTTTAGATTGGATATTAGGAAGAATTTCTTTACTGAAAGGATCATCAGGCATTGGAACGCGTTACCCAGGGCAGTGGTGGAGTCCCCATCCCTGGAGGTATTTAAGGGTCATGTAGATATAGTGCTCAGGGACATGGTTTAGTGGTGGGCTTGTCAGTGTTAGGGTAATGATTGGACTAGATGATCTTACAGGGCTTTTCCAATCTAGGACATTCTGTGATTTTGTGATAAGTGGGCAGCGGGAACTACTGGGGCATCTGACTTGGATGCTGGGAAGCAACAGTCCAGCTTCTGCCTACTGAGGAGCTGGAGGCACACCTGCCCATAGCTTGTCCTTACTGCACTTTCTTCCACTTTTTCCTGCTGCTTGGGAATCATGCATCCTGAGGCAGGTCTTCATCTTCTCTTCCCCTGGCACCGCTCACAAAGAGCAGGAGCTGGTGAACTCCAGATCCTGTCCCAGAGGCTGTCAAGTCTAGCTGTGAGAGACAATGTCTCAGGGGAGACATTCATGAACTGAACTTCCTCAGGCCAATAAGAATGATTAAGAAGCTGAAAAATAGGCCTAATGGAAGATTCAAGAAAACACGATTTATTTTTATTAGGCTTGATAAATGTGGAGAGTACATAAGTGTTTGGATGGGCAGAAATGCTTTCATCGCAGGCTCTTCAACTTAGCAGTCAATGGTCTGTCAAGACCCAGCGGCTGGAAATTGGAGCTGGGTGCAGTCAGACTAGAAAACTAGCACATTAAAATCTCCAAAACAGTCCATCTCTCTCTAAAAAAAAGTACCCAACACCTATCAGACTGTCTTCTGCACAATTTCAGTAAATTTCCCCAGTGCCTGTATATTAAGATTGCCTCAAGCCTTTTAACCATGTTCTGTTCATTTGATGGTGGTTGGCAGCAGAATTCGAAGCTGGAATCGGTGTCTCCCCAGCATATCTCCCTATCGTATCACTGAAAGAGTCAACAGTTGAAATTGCTTTATGAATTGGCACCAGGGCGTTCAGGCAGGGAGGTCAGGGTGAGCCTGCGTTTGGCAGCTAATGATGAAGCTATGGGTTATGTAGACCAGCCTGTCTGGAGCTGCCACCCCACATGTACCTGCCACCCCACATAGGGCAACTGAGAGTGTAAGATGCTTGGAAAAATGTCAATTTTCCCTTCTAATCACTGGTCTTAGTTAGTCTTCTAGACCTATTCATTTATCTTGTACTATCTGCTTTATTTTGAGTAGGTATTTTTAACAAGGAATTGCCACTTTCATGCCTTATTCATCCTTTGGCTTCTAGGCTGATGTGACTATGGAAAGGCAGACATGTAGCACTTTAGAAGTCTTTTTGTTGCGGCTCTGGTCCAGCAACAAGTGAACAGAGACCCAAGTCTCTGAACTTGAATTTAGCGAATGAGAACGAATTAAGCTGCAAAAGGAATAAAAACTGTGTTCCCCTACTTTGCAGGTTTATTCTGCTAGATTCTCTGGCTGTGTTAAAATCCTCAAGAGGGTCCAGGGAAAGTGGGACATAAACCTTGGCTTTCGGACAGTGGATGAGCTTTGACAGCATACTAGCTTAGCTGCAAGGCAGTGATCTTGGAGACTGCGGACAGCCATGTACTGTGAAGCAACTAGAACATTAAAAGCCAAATCCGGATCAGTGGTAATTAAAAGAGGGTATTAGCCAAGACATCAAAGATGAGATATTACTAAGGATAAGCATGTTTAATTGGCAGGTTCATTTCCTCATTAGGCGGTGTGAGGGAGCTATCTGGTTCACTGATCCTGTTTCTTAAAACTTAAGAATAATTTGAAAATTGTGCAAGGTGCAGAGAGATTGATAGTGGCATGTCAGTGTTCAGACAGCTGGACTGGATGGCTCAGATGAGGATAAGCTAGTTAGCCTTGAGCTTGTACCATAGAACCTAGTGGAAAAATTGTTGTGGAGTTCACGAGGTAGAAAAGATCAGAAACATAATGAAAACTAGCAAATGTGGCTTTATGTAAAGGTTTTCCGGTCAAACAAACCTTTTTTTTTTTATTATTTTGGAGGTTGTGAGTTAGATAAAGTAACAGCATGTTTGCAGCCTGCTTAGCATTTCATATTGCACATAATTTAGAATCTTGTGATATCCTGATTTATGTCAAAAAAAAAAAAAGATAGCAAGCACAGAACAAGATTAAAAACTGGCTGACAGTTATCAGAAAGTAATTATCAGTAGAAAGCCACTCGGGTTGTAGTTTGAAGGGCTTCCTCCAGGATTAGCAAGAGGGACAGCAGTAAGTGAGAATCACTGCTTATAAACTGTGTCTTGATTGACACAAATGCTGGCCAGACAGTGAATAACTGCGACAGGACTGTCATGGTGTGACCGGGATCACTTAATTCACAGAATCTGTTTAAAGACAATGCATTTTAACCAAGCCAAAGGCAATTATACGCCTAGGAACAGGGAATGCAGAGCACATAGGTAAAAATGTGAGGCTTAGAAAAGACTCAAAATAGATATCTTGGTGATATAATAGACAGTCAGCTCCATCAACCCCCAGAACTTGATTTTTATAGACAAATTGATCTTAACCCAGTTTTAGCCATCTAAACATGAAGTCATGGGACACAGACACACACCCCCCCACAAAAAGAAAAAACAACAAAACCCAAACCCACAGAAATCCCACCAACGCAGGGCAGATCACTGAATCTTGAAAGAGACAGGACCAGTTTTCTTCTGAAAGTCTCCATTCCTCCTCCTCTCAGCTGAATTCAGAGATTCTGCTGACTAACCTTGTGATGGCTGAAGCGAGGTAAGAGAAACTGCAGCTCCTGTATCTGTTATTTTACCTCCATACATGGTTTTGGTAAGACCAGTACAATAGTATTATGTCTATTTTCTGGTCTCTGTATTCTTAAAACATCATTTCAAGATTGAACAAGGTGCAGATAAGAGACCCAAAACTGATTGAAGTGTGGCATAAATGCCTTGTGGTGAGATAATGCATGAGCTTGAATTACTTCATTTATTGAAAAGATGATTGAGATGTGACTTGATTACAATATATAAGTACTTTCAAAGGGAGAAAACACCAGGTACTAAAAGGCTCTTTAGTATACTATAGAAAGTCATAAGGAGAACCAACTGCTAGAAGCTGAAGGCAAATTCATACTAGAAATTAAGCAGCAATATTAGTACCACTTTAGCCACAAATAGATTACTAGGTTCTGTACAGAGGAAAGAGGATAAAATTTATCTGTCTGTGATACACAGGAGGTCAAGCAAATTTGCCAAGTTGTCTCTCCTGACCATAAACCTTAGGAATCGGTAAAACCAGAAGTGTTTTAATACCATTTTTCTTTGTTTCCTTCAAAACTACTTGGAAAAGTATGGCATTCTTACTCCTTTCAAGGATTTAGTTTAAATCAAACCAAGAAATGTTAGATTAAATAATTTTAAAATATGTGGTGTCAAAGTAATCACACTCTGCATTATTTGGGGAAAGCAAACTTAGATTTCCAGACGTAATAATATTTCAGTCTGTAAGGCAATGGGAAAATTAGAAGCATCTCAGAGTAACTTGTGTTACTTGGTATCAATACTTCTAAGCATTTATGTTATCTTCTGTGACATTGCCAGTTGAAGGTGACAGTGACAGTGACAGTGTAGTACCCTACACCAATACCAAGACAAGGCGCTCTGTTGGAAGGACATTTTAAATAGCAAGAGCTAATCAAGCTGTTAAAGCTAAGAAATTCATCCTTTCTCGTTATGCAAAGCTGTTCCCAGAAGCGTATGTTTTATATATGTTGCACTGGTGATGCCCAAAGGAGATGGTTAAGTTGCCCCACACACACATTATGCACGAGAACTTCGTAGTAGAGAAGCAGGTGTTTGCCCAACATCACTTCTCTCTTCCTATCTATATCAAGTTGCTTTCAATTTTTAGGTTTTTCCAGCGTTACAGAGTAGACTGGTACTATTGTGCCGCTCTGTTAGTCGTCTTGCTTTAGGCAAGAAGGTGTTCACGTCGAATTACAAAGTAACTGTGTTACAGAGGTGAATGTACAGAGAACAGTATTAACTAAAGGTTAGTATGTGATCTCATAGATTACTAACTGCAAGTTTTTATCTTTTCCCCAAGTGTTAGCGTATGTAGTATTATTACTTTTTTCCATTATGTTCCTTTAGTGAACAGTTATTTTCTTTTTTATTGCAAAAAGATGAAAATCAGCTATTCTTTTCCTGCTAGAAGCTGAAGGCAAATTCATACTAGAAATTGAGGATAGGAATAAGATTAGCTTTCATTTTATCTTCCACTAATTTTGGATACTTTGATCAGGTTCTCTTTGTAGATTATTTTTTTCATGGCCACTGATGGTATTCAATGCACATTTCTAGAAAACAGTACCTAGGTAATCTGAATGCAACAATCTCGAGAAAGAAGAACCACACAGTTACCATCTTGTATTTAAAATTTGGTCTTTGTGATTCATTCTTAATATGTAAACTATCTGATGGCAAAATAAGGAAGTCTAGGGAATATCAGCTATTGTTTCTGCTTTTTTTTTCGGTGTCTAAATAGCAGAGATTATAGAACTTACATATTTACTAAATGCTGAATTAGTGAAAAATAATTCAAATGTTGACCGTGTTGATAAATCTTATTTTAATGTCCAGTTTTGTTTTGGTTTTTTCATTCTAGATAAACTTTCCTTGGAAGGCATAGTGGTGCAACGTGCTGAATGCAGACCTGCAGCTAGTGAAAATTATATGAAACTGAAAAGGTAGGAGTGCTCTATCTATCTGGATATGTGATGTCTGACTTTGATGCCTTTATTATTGCCTTACTAGGGATGGATGACTTCAGTATTATCATGGTCTTATGTAAGATTTATACAGGATTGAAACTGTTCTTGCTTTTGGGATGGATTTACTGTAGAGAAGGAATGAAGACTGGTGTGGACCTTGCACCTCCCCCTGGTATTGTCTGGTGGGATGATGTAGACTTCTGTGTTCCATCACGTGCAAAGCTCTTATTAGAGCACATATTCTGCCTCTTCATACCTGACCGTATGAATGTATGGCTATATTCAGATGTGATTAAAGCTGAATTTCCTGAGGACTTAAAGGTTTGCATTGATCTGGTCAGGACATGCTTCTTGAGTATGGGTTTCTGCGTGGATTGTCCAAATATAATTCCACTTAATACTGTGCCATGCTAGACGAAGAGCACCTCTGAAAAGATACTTAAAATGCCCAAAATAAGGAAGAGTTTAGGGACAAGACCTAAACTGGCATGCTTGCCAGAAAAGGCAATGGCTGAAAACATCAGAAGTGGCATGGAAACCACAAGACATACATTTAGCTAAATCATTTAGTGACTTTTGAAAATTTAATCCAATACATCTAGAATTTACCATGTGATTCATATATCATATGGATAATTAACTTGATGATATTCTCTAGTAATAAATCAGATTTGGAATTGAATTTTGCGTTATTTTAAATACATATTTATATATTTTAAGCATGTGGTTTTTAATTATATCACCGTTTTATATTGTGATTTTGTTGTAGAGAAATGCAAAGCAAGGAATTTCAGGGACTCATCCATGACTAGTTTTAGAATCATCAAAAGAAATGCAGAAAAGGCAAAGTGATGTTTTTCCCCAATTCCTGATCTGTTTTCTGTGTATCGTATACTACATTTACAGTATCTTATGTTTTATTAACCTCCTCTGTCATCTAAACTGCTCCAGTATTTCCCTATTGTGTTCATTTAGTTCTGAGACTTTATGTTCTAGCTGTTGGCAAACCAGTACCATAAGTTTGCTCATGTACACTGAGCTACTTCATTTCAGACTGTGTTCTGTGATTGCTGTCATGATTTTTGTCATCAGTGTGAAATGGAGTATGAAGTAAATGTAATGTTACTAGAAAAGGACTCATTTCAATCTGGCAATTTTAGATATATCCGAATATAGTCTGTGGGATGTATTTGCTTCATAATTGTTTTAATCACAGGTTGCCCAATCCAAGTGCTTTTTTGAATTTTGTACACAGTCTTCTATTAGTTGATCAGATAAGCTGCTTATCATAAGGCCACAGCAGGAGACCAAACCAAAACCGATAGGTTTAATGACATACTACCCAAACTTTGAATTTTTCAGCATTCTGCTTTCTGTCACGCATGCATGCATGCAGCCCCTCCTGGTCTTTGCTGTTTGTCGTGTTCAACTCCTGTGGGAGCAACAAAGATACAAACATGAAGGCAGGTTTTGTGTTTGGAAGTACAGGCAGCTGAAAACTGATGGCACCATTTTTTTTCTTTCCTGTAGAAAAATTGTCAGGCTGTTTATGCCTGGTTGCTAACTTTACATGTTGTTAAAGATTTTTTGCCCTTTACCAAAAAGTAAAAAAACCAAAAAACAACCCAACCTTATCTGGTGGGAATCAGCATGAGATTTAGCAGATCTAGCAGTCCCAGCCTCCGAAGAAATTGGTTTATGTCCAAATACCAACTCTGGTATTTGAGTAGTAGGATCTAACTTTCCACTCCCTTTAGTCTCTCCCACCCTCAACATGCTGCAGTCTGTATTTGTGCTTAAAAAAAGTGACAGCATTGAAGATTAACCACGTAAGTTACAGAACTGTTATATTAAAACATTTTTATTCACTTTTCTATTTACTATTGTGCTTTACATGACGGAGACTCTCCAAAGGTGGAATTGCTAATATTGATAGCAAGTCTGTTGTGTAGGCTTTAAGTGCTACAATAGTAAATTGAGTCGGGAAGGAAATAAAATTAAAAGATAAATGCAGTTGCCTCAAACTTTGAAGATCTAGAAAATGAAGTTAAGCTGCACACTCCAATAACTGTAATCATTTGTTTTTTGAGAGTTGGCGGTGACCAAAAGGGATTATATACCTCCTTGCTATTAAATGCAGATACGGATCCCCTCTATTTTACCTTCTGTGTCTGGGTCAAGGAAATGGGATGACGGGTGTGTGGCGTGGTGTTTGATTTCCATGCTGCTGTGTAGAGTTTCAGTGAGAGGACAAAGTGGTGGTCTTGTGATGGGGCTGACAGCAGTTAGGTGGGAGATGTGTGTGACATGTGGGTTTAAGGATGGGTAATGAAAGCATAGAATTAGGTGATACGTATGGGTGAAAGCATTGTCAAATGCAGCAGATGGAAGGAAGGTTTTTTCACAAGGAGTAACCTTTTGATTTGATTACAGGAAGGGTGTAGATGGCTGCTTTTCAGAACGCTTTGAATACAAGGTACAAATGTGCCTCTAGGGATAACTAGTCAGAAAGGTAGAGCAAAGGTTGAGTGACCTTCACTTGGAATTTTCCATTTTGGAAGGTTTTTGGTTGGTAGATTTATTTATTTTTTCCATTTTCCTGAAATTCTAGTTCTAGAAGGGGAACAAATACCCTGAAACACCTGCTATTCTGCACTAGTAAAGCTTCATGCTGTTGAATTTCCTAGAAATTTTTTATTAACAATGTATTTGTTCTTTGTAATGCCTTAATGATTAGTTATACATTTGCAGTTACTGGTGGTGATGCTATTGCGGCTAGCTGGAAAATAATATGTGGTTTCTAAGCACCTGTCCTGATTTCTGTCTTGTGGGAGTGGATCTCATGGTCTCACTTAAAAATATTTGGACTCTGTGGTTAAAAAAAAAAAAAAGGCAAGCAGACTCTGTTCCCAACCGTGGACAGTTTTACTGTGTGGCAGTCGTGGAAGATTCTGTCCCTACGCTACTCTTTCTGGTTGATACTTCCCTTCCTGCCCCATCAAGCCTGTAGGACATAGGAAGACAGTGGCATGTGAAATGTAGAAGCAGAAGGTGTGTATCATAGATGGGGGTACACACAAAGTGCATTGTAGGGTGCACACGATGTTTGTACTGGTCTTGTGCCCCCACCATGCATGTCACCTTAGGTAGGTGGCCTTTTCCTTCTTCCAGGCTGCCCTAGGCAGGCTCCACATTCACCCCAGACGCTCCCACTCAAACTAGATTATTTTCTTCATCTCACTGTAGTCAGCTTTCCACCATAAGGAGGCATTATCTGTTCCTTAATTTTGTCTTTGGAAAGCTAAAGAGATTTTTACTTCCATTACTTTCATTCCATGGTCCCAGTGCTTAATCATCTTGGGGTTAATGACTCCCCAAAAAGAGAGGTCCTCTAAGAGGCTAGTCTGCACTGGGAAGGACAGGACATGGAGAGAGGAGTCCCCCAGGCATTCAGGATCCCCTCAGGCTCCAAATGACTTGAAAGGAGATGGGAATAAGATTTTGATACTCCTGAAGGGTTTTTGCTATGTGCAAAAGAGAAAGAATGGGGGACTGACATGCACCTCATCTCATATTCTCTCTGCCAAATTACCTGTTTCCATCCTTGCACTGGTCTTCATGTCTGTTCTGTTATTCCCTCTGACCATAGCTCTTTTTCCCCAATTTTTTCTCAGTCCCCCTTTCCCATTTCTTTTTACTTCTCTTTCTCCATTTCCTCACAGAAAGCATCTTTTTATTATTATTTAGCTTTTAAAAAATAATTTTAACACATCTCAAACTACATTTCTTTTTGAGGAAAAGTTGAGAAGAGAAAAAAAAAAAAAATCTCTTGGAGATCAATCTCTCTTCTGCAAAGCTCCGATTCAAACTGACATTGTCAAGCTGAGTAGCTACAACAAGGTCTCCAGGACTGCTCAGGTCCATTGCGACAGGGTGGCTGAGCACCGGGCTCGCCGTTCTCAGAGGAGGTTTTGGAGGCACATGCAAAGTTCTTCTCAGGCGGTTGGTGAATGCAGTGTTTGATAGCGCTTCCCCAACAGTAGTGGATGGCAGGCAAAACCAGGGATAAAATCAGAGCCCTTGTTTCATTCTCAGATGTGCCTGTGAAATGCCACTCGCCTTTTCGAAATGGATTTTGGGAGACTGATTCAACTATACATAAGCTGAATTACTGAACTCTCCCCAAACTACACCAAAAAAAAAAATAAAATAAAAGGAGTCCTAGGATTACAGAAAGCCTAGAAGAGCTGACATTTAACACTGCAGTGAGGCTGGTAACCCCTATAATTCTCTTAAGTAACATAAAAATACATCTTGAAGTATCGTTGGTGAAAATCGTAGTTGCCAACATGGCAGCTCGTAACAAGGCTGTGAGAATTTAGTGTATCTTCTTGCCTTTTAAGAGTTTTCTACAGAGAGTGTGATGAAAGTTCTTAGAAAAAGCTACTGAAAGAAACATGCATGATAGACTTTTAGGAGAAATGGGTCGCAAAACATTCTAGAATAATTAATGAATTTCCACGTTTGAAAAGTCACATTTCTTTACAACCATATTACAGAGGCCACTAGAAGTCCTGACACTTGGTGGTCTAGGCCAAGCAAGTGAAATTTAATTAGTGTAGACGAGTTGTTCATCTTCTCTAAAATACTGTGAGAGTATCGACTGAGTGACAGTTCAGTATATTGCTGAAAATGAGCATTATACCATTTTTTTTCCCAAATACCCCCTAATAGTGAAAGAAAATGAATAATTTGACCAGCATGCCACTTCATATATATTCTTGTAGATATGCTTAGTTGTCTATGAATTCCCTTTCAAATCAAATACATATGAATACATTTGTGTATTTTTCACAAGAACTGACATGCTGCACAAATGCTGTTGAGTTTGTTTGAAGTGGGAGGCCATTTTTATGCAAAGCTGAGATTGCATCTGCCTGTCAGTCAATGCAACCTTGATTTTTCAAGTACTGAAG